TCTATCTATCTATCTATCTATCTATCTATCTATCTATCTATCTATCTCTATGTATATATGGGTATATGTATGTGTGTGCATGCACGTGCATATTCTAATAAATAAATAATAAATAGTATGAAGTGAATACAAAATGTCACAAAAGAAAAGGTGCCTAACAGAGAAAAATCAAGTGTTCATTTGTAAATGTCAGGAACCTCTGAGCCAAAATGGAGAAGTAATGGACCATGAAGCTAGGAAAAAAATCCAGAAAGCATTACAAACAACTATTACAACAGAGAAAATTAAAATTATAGAACAATTTTGGGATATAAGCATTACAGAAGAACATATTTGGGGGAGGGTAGATTTGTCTGGTATATCCAAGAAGATGTAAAACCCCTATTCAAATGGAGCAAACATCTCCACAGAATTACTATGGGCTGTTCATATCAGTTCTCAAATGACACACTATGGACTTAGTCTATCTTACTCCTTCAATCCACCAAGGAAGTCAGGCTAATCTTCATGTGGAAAGTGAAATCACAGAGGTGTCTAAAAAGGAACTAATGATAAAATGTTGGACAGTTTTTATTACCTTAAAGTAGGCTAGAAAAATGGATGGGGTCTGTAGTTTATGTTCCACCATCTACAGACACAATGTTTTTGGTTGATACAAGAATCCTTTTAGCAGAACATACTACCTATGGAATTCCTGTCAGAAAATGGCTTTTTCCTTAACGTAGCTTAAGCACATGTTCTATGCTGCATGCTCTAGAACAGGGGGGTCAAACTGGTGGCCTGTGGGCCAGATGTGTCACGCACGGGCCACACCCGCCCCAGCTCTGCAAAAGGAAAAATGTTGCAATATGTCACATGACGGCAACGTGATGCTACAGGTTTGACACCCGTGCTCTAGAACACAGAATAATAGGGTTAGAAAAGACTTTGGAGTCTTCTAGTCCAACCCCTCGCTCAAGCAGGAGACCATTCCAGACAAACTTTTTTAGTGATCCCTAATTTTAATAGCGTTCTTGAATTTTTTTTTGCTTTACTTCAGTGTTTCTTAGTTTTATGAAATATTTTAATTTAATTTTAATCAGCTGCTGGGCACCACAAGTGGAGAGTGGAATTTAAAGATTCAACAAAGCAATAAACAAATGTATGAAGTATCATGTTTTGGTAGAATGAGAGGAACAAGTAAGATGTGCTAATTGTGGTTCCTGGCATGCAGTAGGGAAAAATTAATGAGTACCTTTTGTGCGTTTTGGTTACGATGGCCAGATTGTCCACAGATAAGCAGGTTGCTGCTGAACTGCAGTATAGTTTGGCATCCTGTTTTACTTAAGAAATATCTACTGGTAGACTGTTTGGTATTTTCCTTGGAATATCAAAGAAAGAAATCGGGATACCTTTCAGGAGATAATGGAGGTTCACTTGGTTCTACTGTTTTATCTTCTTTGTTTCTAGATGTAGGTGTGAAAACATTATCTGTAGACAATAACATCTTTTGTCAAATACTAATGCAGGAGATAAACATGAATGCATTTAACGATTTATGTAGTTATTAAAAATAGGTACCAAACTGGACTTAGGTTATTTCAAATATTATTTTAATAATAAAGGCTGCTGTTTACAACATGAAGTTTAAGAAATATAGGACACAGTGATTCATGAGTTCAAACATGATGTTCTCTCTATCTGTGGCCAATCTATGAAAACCACACGTATTGCATTGTGTATCTTGGCTGCACTTTTAAAAATACCCAGCCAGTGGTCTACTAATTTAAAGTATTTATGTATATTATGCATTACTATTCATTTACAAATGTCCCATTTGAAAGAGCAAAAAACATACATAAAATCGTTAGAACAAAATCTTGCCTCTCGTTGTTGTAAAAGCAAGTCTTGCATGATAAGATAGACCATTTATTGAAGAGAATACAAACAGTGAGGAATTACCTTTGCCTGAGGATATAAAAGCTCTTCAGTTATAAGTTAGGGGCAGAAAGGGACCAAGAACATTTGAGATGGGTGGGGGCAGGGGTGGGTTTCTACCGGTTGTGTCCACCTCTGAAGAGCATCAGACATAGAACCGGTTCTATGTCTGCTGATGTGTTTGCCTACCCACTCACCTGGGCTCTTACCTGACCTTTATTTCCTGATTTTTTTCAACTTCAGCTGCCATGCGATGCACAGCTGCAGTTTAAAAAAGCAGGAAAAAAGGGCTTTTTGAAAGGCTGCTTCTCTGCACGCAGCATGCTGATGACAATTTACAGGCGCGCGCCGGCAGCGTGCAGGGAAGCACATCGTAAATTACTGAACCTCATAAATGACCGAACTGGTAGTTAACCCTGTTGGACCCCACCCCTGGGTGTGGGATATATATGATGAGGCAAAAGAAGATCTGTCATTCTGGCTTGTGTAACTTCCTCCTGCTGTATTTGCTTTCCTATCTTCTTCTCACCCTGTTGTAAGTGTTATCAGCCACATCTTCCAATTGGCCACCCTATGGAATTGTATTGAGGACCCTCAAGTCAATGTTTTATGTGGCTGCTATGGCAGGGGCCTGCAGAGAAATCTCTTGTGCTCCCTCAGGTAGAGGATAACCGGCAGGGAGGCAAGTCATCCTAGAGAAATACATTATGCCATTGCTCTGGACAGTAGGTAGAGAAAGCAACTAATAGGACCTTGGCAATTCCCTCCAGCCTTTCATTTTATGTAAAAGGTACCTTTGAAGGATAATTGTGTTGGGATACTGTTTCTAGCCAAATTGTTTTTCAGGAAGACTGTACATCTTCTTGTACAGAGGGACAACGGGTTATATACCCCTAAATGCAATTTCCAGAAGTAGCAGCATCTGGGATGTTGTGAGACACTGTTTATAGCACTAGCACTTAGACTTACTGTATATACCGCTTCACAGTGCTTTACAGCCCTCTCTAAGCGGTTTACAGAGTCAGCAATTTGCCCCCAACAATCGGGGTCTTCATTTTACCCACCTCGGAAGGATGGAAGGCTGAGTCAACTATGAGCCGCTCAGAATTGAACTCCTGGAGTGAGCAGTGAGTTAGCCCTGCAGTTCTGCATTCTAACCACTGTGCCACCATGGCTCTTAATGCATCTTATACATCTTTACATTATTTCTACAAACTTAAGAGGCTATCAAGGTGTTGTCATTAAAAATGGAAACGGCAATTCTCCGAAATCTAAGCAAAACCAATAATGAATAATAACAAGGGGTCCTCGACTTACGCCTGCAACGGAAGCCAACGTTTCTGTTGCTAAGAAACGAGACATTTGTTCAGTGAGTTTTGTCTCATTTTACGACCTTTCTTGCCACAGTTCTTAAATGCATCGTTACAGTTACTAACCCGGTTGTTCAGTGGCTTCCCCACGGGCTTTGCTTGTCAGAAGGTTGCAAAAGGTGATCACATGACCCTGGGACACTGCAGCCTGCATAAACACCTGCCAGTTGAATTTTGACCATGGGGAAGCTGTTCGTAAGTTTGAACAATGGCAGTAAGTCACTTTTTTCAGTGCCGTTGTAGCTTGGAATGGTCACTAAAAAAATGGTTGTCAGTCAAAGACCACCTGTATACAGTTCTAGTGTTTAGATAGAAACAACAGTGCACTGTCTTCCTATGGTTGCATGATGACTCTGTTCCCAAATTAATAACTACAGCAAAAGCATACCTGCAAGCACGATGAGTTCCACTGGCTTCCAGGTGTCATATTTTCTCTCCACCCCACATAAGTAAGTCCCAGCATCATTGTAAGTGAGGTTCTCCATGACCACATTGAATTCAAGACGTACATGGTTGTCTTTGATGGACATTCCATTCTGCTTCACCTCTTTCTCTGCTCCTGTTGTTCGGATGGTGCGGTTACGAGAACAGAATCTAAAACTTCCTTCTTTGCACCAATACTTGACAGCTTCTTCATCCCCTCTTCTATATTTGCAGGAGATAATTGCTGAGCCCCCAAGGGATGAAATCACTAATTTAGGAGCCTCCAGCATCCAGCAAACTGAAAAACAGTTACAACCATTTTTACTTAAAATAAAAATAACACAGACCCCAGAACGATACAAGGCGTCTAGAGTTCTACTTAAGTCTCTGTAGCCTGCATGAAATTAATTGGAGAAAGAGGAAAGGATTTACTCATCTTCCCTAAACAGATTGCTCTTCAGAAGGGTTCATCTTCAGTTATCCCCCAGTTAAGAAGGCTTGTGAACTATTAAATTTGGTCCCAGATGTCTGAAGAACACCATGTTAGTCAAAGCTGATTTATATAATCATTTTCCTTAAAGAGAGTCCGTCATGGATTTCCCTCAATTTGAAATGCAGTAGTCGACAAAATGAATCAGCCTCTCCAGTGCCTGAACCGAGTGCCTCCTTGCAATCCCTCTTCAGCAAGCAGCATTCATAGATGATAGCATCCATTTGAGAAGGGGAAAAAAAAAAAAAAGACGCGTAGCAATCCGCAAGAAGGGGGAAACGAATTAAAAACAAACCAAAGAATGAGCAGGACAAATGATTAACATCCTATTTCAAGAGTGAACGAAACTTCTTTAGAGAAGAAGATTTCACAGGCAGCCCCATTGCTGAGAAAATCGGGCCAGGAAAATGAGAGAAATGAGTGGGGCAAGAGGAAAGCCTGGAAAACAGGAGGAAGGAAAAGGAAGCTTTCAAGAACGTGCCCGATCTCTGTGGGATCTCTTCTAAGCCCCAGTGGTGGATTAAAGCTCACTGGAGTCCTAAGCACTGACGGATCATGGTGCCCCCTCCCTTTGTACATACTGTACAAACGAAGCCAAGCTTAAAACTTAAAAGTTTTTGTGGTGCCCCCTTTGGGCCTGGTGCCCCAAGCACATGCTTAGTCTGCTGAATACACCACTGCTAAGCCCTCTTCTCTTTTGACATTGGAACAGAGCACAGCTTGTCCTTCTTATTTATATAACTATCTCTACTGAAGGCTTGTTAATGCACATTTTTCCTATGAATGCATTACCATTTTAATATGTTTATTTTAGACAAATGGATTTTCCACTAGAGAAAGGATGATAATCAGTGTTGCCTTTCATACTGCAGGAGGCTTTCTTTGGTCAATCTCATTTCACTAATCCATTCCCGTAAAAACCTTTTGCTGATTTTTTTATTAAGAATTTGGATTATTATAAAAATATATATAAACTAAATTTAGGGAAAGAAAAGAGAACAGAAAGACTAAAAAGGGCAAGGGGAAAAGAAGAAATAAAAAAGTAAGAGCATAGTAAAGAGAAAAGAAATATATTAAGAAGTAACTTCCAATTTTCATCACAAGTTTAAAATTTAGTAACTCTTCATCCTCTCTTAGGTTATATAAACATTTATCCCTTTATCCCGTATCCCATCTCTTATCTATACATAAACCCAAAAAACATTTTTTCAGTCCTTTCATCAGCAGAAAATCCAAAAAGAGTAGCCAGAAATAACAATATATCTTATTTTAACCTTGATCGAATAAGCCAGTTTTATATTTATTCCTTTTACAGTCTTAATCTTTAGTTGTCCAGACATTGTCATAGGCTTTGATTTCGCTTCATTTCTTCTTTATCTTATTACACAGACTTCCTCAAGGCTTCTGGCTATTTTTTTCTTCTTTTAAATATCCCTGATTATGTCAGATTTGAGGTTCAGGATATATGAAAATAGGCTGAAAAAGGTTGCCAGACATAGGATGGTTAAGGAAAATAGAACAAACTGAACCATGAACATGAAACAGCAACATCAATTCAAAGTAAAACAATTGCCTTTGACCCCACACAAAAAATGTTTGAAAAAGGATGGTTCTATATTACTTACTTAGAATGGTGTTTAAATGGCTATACATTCTTTTTTTTTTTAAGGAAAAAACTGGTATATTGCTTACCCATCAATTTTTCAGTTGTATTCTGAGACCAGCTGCCATCAGATTAGTAGACTAAAACATCCCCCAGTCCTACCTGAATTCCTTGATGCCATTGTAGTCAAAAGCTTCTAACACATTTCTATCTCGCATTGTAGTTTCTCTAGTGCAATTCAACCAGGAAACATAAATGGGTGTCCCTAGATTGTAATGTTCTATATTTGTATTTCTGCCTTCCTTTCACAATTTTGTCATCTGCCAAAAGGACCAGAGAGAAACTGTGCTCCACATCATTGGCTAAACTGTCCAACATGCGTATATCTTTGTTGCAGGCAGCTGAACCCAAATCTAATTACTCCCCAGTTTCAATAGTTCTCACCATGAAATAAAGTCCAAAGCAAGCCATAGAAAAGTTTCATTGCTCTTGTTTAAGTAAGATTTTTTTTTTTTTTACAAAAGTATAACTTCTCTTTCTAAGTTGTTTCCAGAATCTTGTTTCACTCTCATTTCAATCACAGACCTTGGAGATTTATTTTGCCCCTGGCATTCTGTTGAAATAACTGTGAAGAGGAAGAGGTCAGATCTTGCTTAATTTAAAAAAAGAAAACACATGATTATTAATCCCCAAATTGACATACTGGTAAAGTAGAAATTGCAAACTCATTCTCAGAATAGAAAAAGCCCCCAGATTTTACAATTATTGACCAATGCAGTGGCCTTAGGTCCTTCCTATTACAAACGTAGACAAGAAAACACTGGGTTTGGGCATATTTAACATGTTACTGTTGTAGTAGCTTTAATGTGTAATTTCTTGAGCTATAATGATTGCAACCACCAGTTCTAGTTGCTTCCAAAGACAGAAAAATGGAAATAGTATATCATATCACCTCTCTATCAGTATGGTTCATTGTCTTAAAGTGAATAAATGTGATAGAGTATAGTAAGGAAGTGGGAAGAAATACACCCCAGAGGAGTAAACGACAACTCAATTCAGACAGGTTATGTGAGAGAAAGAGGTAATGTGGATAGTAGTTTCCTTGAGTTGGGCAAGATTTTGTCTGTAGGTGGGGAACAATAAAGAAATATACTTGGAAGTTTCCTGTTTTGGGAGCTTGACAATAAATCAAGTCTTGCATACAGGTAGTACTCAACGTATGATCACAACTGATTTGGACCAGAATCTTGGTTGTTGAGTGAAGCAGTTCTTATGCAGGACATTGCATGACTTCATTCAACAACTGCAATCATGGCACTTCCAGTTGAAGTTGTCCTTGCAGGCTGTTAAGCGGATGGAGTTCCAAGTAAGGGATGTGGGGTGCCTCAGTGGGGTGGGAGAAGCCCTGGCAGGCCGAGTGCAGGTTGCACAAAGGTTGGAGAAATGCTGCAGTGTGGTGCAAAGTCTCAGCTACCCCAACCCAATCACACACTGTGGGGCTTGCCAGTGGAAACCCCATGGCTGGGCCTGAAGTAGAAGCCCAGAGCCTTTAGCAGTCTCAGCCAGCTGCCAGATTTCAGCCTCAGTGCTGCGGCTGCCTCTGACAAATGTTGCCAACTTCTCATACTCATCTATTTCCCCACCCCAATCACAGCAGCATTCTCCTTTATCCCTAGGGCTGGGCCTGAAGTAGAGGTCCAGAATCTTCACCAGTCTCAACCAACTGCCACTGCATTTAGGCCTCAACTGCAGTCCTGGGGCTCCAAGAAAGCCAAAGCAGGTTCCTCCTTAGAGAGAAATTATCTTCCTGGAATATTTCCTCCTTGTTCTTTCAAAGCATCCCGCTCCCCTGTCCTTGTAGTCCTGCCCTACCACCTCAAAATGCACTCAGTTGGCTCAGTGACTTCCCTAGGCACATTTATATTCAAATACTTGCTCTTGTCTTTATCTAACCAAATGCCTTGCTGAGGATCCCGTCATTGTGTACCCTAATTTGCATAAATGTATAAAGGGGGACTGTAACCTCTTCCCTCTTGAAGCCTATCTTTGCCTCCAGCACTGTCAATAAACCAACCAGTGCAAGGTTTCCTGGTCAATTCAAACGTATCCCTGAGAAAAATTCTCCTACATCCTAACAAACCCTTTGTTTTCTTTGAGTGCAAACATTACCTTCAGAAGAGGTTAGTCAGATTGGCTTTTTCTCATCACAGGCCTATCTAGCTTCATCAAGCAGGTGAACTTCAGCATGCTTGCATTTCTACAAGTGCTTGATATCATATCCTTGCTCCCCTGATCAGGTTGTGTGCCATCCCTTCCCTGTAGGAGAAGAGCAAGCAGAGCTGGGGGCGGGGGGGGGGGGGAGTCAGAGTTAAATGTGTCATCAGTTTAGAGTCCTTGGGTTGCCGCAAGTGATCAAATTCTAACCACCTCCCTTGAATTCTATTGCCTGTTATCTAATGCCAATTTAGTGCTGTTAGTTGACTAGATCAGAGATCTGCAATCACGGCCCACTCATGAGCTGTGACAGGACTGTAACCAGGCCATGGAAAGAGCTGCTGAGCACCTTTGTGCTCCCTCACTTGTGAAACAGCAGGCAAGCATGCAACATTTGTGTGAGTGGCAAGCGCATGTGCACGCTACTCACACAAATGGAGTTTTGTGTGCAGTGTTTGTCTGATGCTCACCCTCCTCTCTCCCCCCCTCCCCACCCATCTGCAAAGCCATAAATGTGGGGAACTCTGGATTAGATTCTTGTGTATAGATTTGAATGAATCTTCTACGCTGCAACTTTTCAAATGATCCTGATTTTTTGCTCTCCCCAAACAAGCTACTCCATGAGTTATTACTACGTGAATGTTGAATGTGATTGATCTTGGCTGCATCTCAATGCTTGGGAACTCTTCCTGTACCTTTAAAGCTACCGTGAATGCCTTCTCCCACCCTACAGTTACTACCAAGTCCTACACAACATTAGCTAAAGGGTGTATACACAAACCACCAGAGATCATGGCCTTTCCTCACCTTCTATTTGATAAAGAGTATTCTTTAGAAGAGGATGGGAAGGGCCAACCAACTTGCAAGTTTTTGAAATGCCTGCCCATGCTGGAAATAGAAAGCATAGAACTATTTGGGTCATTGCTTCGGGGAGATGCAATTGGACTGTCATGTAGAAACCTGAAAAGAGATCAAGGACATTTTCTTCCATACAACTGCACATTCATGGATGCATTTTTGTGACAGTGGTGGAGAGCAGCTGTTCAGCGCAAAGAGATGGGTGAGATGACAGGTGGGCAAGGAGCAGAGCGGAGAGAGCATCAGCACGCGCAGTATTAGGTTTGATCATTAAAAAAAAAAAATAAGGCAGATCTTCATATACAAACATGGGCATGTCTTCATGAGAGCCTCCAGCCCCATCTGATCACCAGAGGTTTTTGTCTGTCTCTGTGGTAGATGATTTGAAATAGGAGCAAGCTGGTGGTTCCTTTCCTCTTCTCACATTCTGTCATATCTTTCCCTATTATCTGTTCACCCAATTGACCAAAAACTACACTAAACATTGCTAATCAGAGGTGGTATTCAGCCGGTTCGGACAGGTTCTGGTCAGTGGTGGGATTCAATTTTTTTTACTACCAGTTCTGTGGGTGTGGCTTGGTGGGCGTGGCAGGGGAAGGAGACTGCAAAATCTCCAGTCAGATGTGGTATTTGCCAGGTCTCTGAACTACTCAAAATTTCCACTACCGATTCTCCAGAACTGGTCGGAAGCTGTTGAATACCAGCTCTGGTTCTGGTGTACCGGTAGTGAAAATTTTGAGTAGTTTGGAGACCTGGCAAATGCCACCTCTGGCTGGCCCCACCGGACACCCCCCCACCCTTTACTATCCTATATTCCTTTGTTTTTTTAGCTCAGCTGATTCAGATTGTGGCACCTCAGCTGAGCTAAAAAACAGCTCATCTCACTAGTGCCGACACAGAAGGCGTTTTTTGAATGCTGTGCACGCATGCGAAGCACTCTCTCATAGAACCGATAGGAAAAATTGTGGAATCCCACCACTGTTGCTAATCCTTATTTGCATCTATTACCACTGATTTAAGTTGCTGGAGTTGCCTCACTTCCCTCCCTTAGATGTCCAAATTCAATGATAGAGACTCTTTAGCTCCTACTGATCACAAGGGGGCAGTAGGGGGCAGATCAAACTGTCTACGGAGATTCTCAGTCATCCAGGCCATGGTTGTCCCAAAGGTACTTTTTTTTTCAAAAGGCAACTGGACTTTGTTTAATTTCTCATCCAAGAAGCTCCTCCAGGATTGAAGAAGCTTCTTGGAGGAGAAGTGAAATGTCTTCAAGGAAAAAACAAGAATGTCCAGTTGCCTTTTGAAAAAGCACCTTTGGGTGTAGATCACGAGTTAAGGATTTCAGTAGAAGAGAATATCAGGATTCTCAGGACTGAATTGTGTAGCCCTTGAAGCTCTCTGGCCTTGATTGTCTACTTGCAGACAATTCATGACTAGGTAACATCATCAGTGCTATTTATTTTGTGTCCCCTGTTTGTCTAAGACATGGAGGTCAAACTCAAGGCCCACCAGCTGGATTCTGCCTGCAGGGTACTTAAATCTAGCCCATGGAGCCAGTCTGGAAATAGCAAAGGACCAGCTGCAGTGCCTCTGGCAGCCAAAATGGGGCATTGTGGGGAGGTGAGCCCCCATGCCCCATTTTCAGCCTGGATGGCCTCCTGCAGCACTCTGCTGGCCAAAATGGGGCATAGGGGGGCATACGTGGCCCCCATGCCCCATTTTGGCTGACAGGCTGCTGCAGGAGGAGCCCATCCTGCCTCCCTGCCCCACACCCTCAACTGGCCCACAGAGAACTACAATGCTGAGCCAGCCCATATATATATATATATATATATATATATATATATAATTTTCTTCTGCTTTTCTTCCCAGACCCATCATTTTTCGACTCATCCCCTGGTAGTAGGTATCTAAATAAGTGCTGGGCTTTTGTCACGTATTACCTGTACAGTTGGCCTTCACTTAATAACAGTGATGGGGGCCAGAATTCCCATTGCTAAGGACATAAAGTGCAACATAATAAGACTCTGGTGCTTCGTAGTTCCAGCACTTTTAATTGCTATCATTAAGCAAATCCTATACCAGGATGTGACCTGATCACTGTTTGTGACTTCCTGCCCAGCTCCTCCATTGCCTTTTCTTGTTAGAAGCTAGAAGTGAAGTCCACAAATGGCAGCTGTGTGACTGAAGGGACTCCATCTGTAACTATGGGGATGGGTTGCAAGTACCACTCGTTCTGTGCTGTTTGCATGGTGGCTGAACAAGTGGTCATTAACTGGGGGACCACCTGTAAATATAAGTGGTCCTCAACTTTATGACCACAATTGACCCCCAAATTTATGTTGCTAAGTGAGAAATTCATGAAGTGAGTTTTCCCCCATTTTGCCATCATTCTTTCCACCGTTGTTTAGTGAATCCCTGCAGTGGTGAAGCTAGTAACACGGTTGCTAAATGAATCTGGCTTCCCCATTGACTTTGCCTGTTGAAAGATCACCAAAAGGTA